CCTAAACGCCTAAGCCGCTATAATACCTCCAGGTGCAGCTAAATCTCAAGATGACCAGCATGTTGGTAATCACCGTGTTCGGATCATCAAACTCATCCCAATCCGCCTCGCGGCCGGAGTTACTACAGTCACAGCGTTGCTGATAACGAACACCAACTCAGATACCGTAATATGGGTATATAGTAGTAAAAGTGCTTACTGACTATTGTAACTTAATCTGAAACCCTAAACCCTAAAGTCCTTGGCAGCAACCTAGGTTCGGGGGAGCTGTACATGCTGCGTGGGATAGCTAGGGTCTAAGGTGATCAGGGGTTAGGGTGGTTAGGGGTCACTTGGGGTGCTTTACATGATCTGGCAGGCAGCGGTTAAGGTTGGCTCCCTAAATCTCGAGCGACCTGCTGGAACCCAACTCTGAACCCCTAAACCCTAAACCCTCTACCTAAACCCTAAACCCTAACCCTCAACCCTATAAAAAAGAGACCCAAGGAGGGACCATTATCCTGACAACCGTCAAAGAGGTGAAGAAGGGGTCTGATGCAAGATGCAATGGGGCACCACCAAGGAAAAAGAATGCCTCCCCCTAGTAAGAACACCCCCCACCCCCGAATTTCAGAGATTCTCCCGAATGCGCAATGGTACCATTTTAGGGAGGAGGGGCTTTATCATTAGGGAGAGTGGTAGCCCTAAACCCCTACCCCTGCTTCCTTGGGACTGGAGAAGTGGATCCCTATGTTATTTAGGGTTTAGGGTTTAGCCTCCACACCCTAAACCCTCAAGCCCACATGAACTTACCACTACTTCAGGTTCTGATATTTTTCCTTAATGTTAAAATGTAAACATGTCAAACTCCAAAATAACCCCCACAAGTCCTGAGTAATGGTAATACACCCTAAACGTAACCCACCCCTATCAACGGCTGGCTCGCAGAGTGCCTTCATGTTCAGAATGCTCATCGCCCAAACAACCAACCTCACGCAGGAGTAATATTCGGGTTATGTTGGGGTTATCTGGGGATAATGGAAAAGAAAATGGAAACTATTACGATGGGTTATAGAGGGTTTAGGTTTTAGGCTTCAGGGTTTAAGGTTTAGAGCTTGGGGGATTTAGGGGTCAAGGTTTGAGCGCTTGCGAATTAGTATTTAGGATTTAGGGTATGCTTTTGGGGGGGTGCCGGAAAACTGTTCTACATATGCACTGCACAGGAGTTTTTTAGGAAGAGTCAAGCTTTGGAACGCCGTGTTCATCCATCTTGCTCAAAGTATGGATCCGCATCATGCCTTAAAATCCGTATATTCCCCCAGTTTCCATTTCATTTTCCATTTTCTTTTCCATTTGATTCTCCATTATAGGGGGATATCATAAGGTGAATGCTTACAAGCTGCAGTCTTCTTGCATGCTCAGACGAGATAGATCTGTGTCGCTGAAACATTCCGAAACGTTCACCGAAAACAGCGAGCACAACTTTTCTCAGATATCCACTTCCCCTTTTCATGATAAGCTCGTGAGGAAGGACCTCCGACAGCGAGTTACCCGCAAGTCATTCAAAGTCAGGGTCTGCAACGTTCGGAATCACAAGTGAGCCATTGTCTAAACTCCTAGTATCCCCCTTAGTAACCCTTATAGTAGTCCCTATATAATACCCTATATATCCCCCTTTAAGGAGTTTAGACTAGAGTTCAAGTGAGAACAAGGCTCAGGGTTCCAAACCTCAAAGGCAAACCACGCAGCCCCAAAGTCCTCAGAAAAACAGAAAAAATTAGTGGTGAGGGTTTAGGGTTTAGGGAAAGGAAACAACAAAACTCCACATAAATACCTCCTGCCCACAACCCCCGTGGCCCAAATCCTGGAGCAGAAAAAATGTAAGTTCGTGAAATAGGTTTGCATTCTGGGGCTTAGTAGGGAATAATAAGGGATTCTTATCCCTATATAATCCATATATTCTACATTATGTGCTCCCTTATTCCCTCCTCGCCAAATAAGTTTGGGCTATTTGGGTTGAGACATTCAAGCCTCAAAGCTTCAAGCTACACAGCCCCAAAATCACCAAGAAGCTACCAGGAAACCTCCATCTGCCTTAGAATTTGGGGTTTAGGGCTTAGGATTTGAGATATAGGGACAAAAGAGCCTAAAAAGGGCCTTAAAAGACTATCAGCCCTGAAGACAATGCATCCCTATGATGCTCCTCTAGAATCCCTATACAGCCCTTTGAAAAGGGTGTTCATTTGGGGAGAGGGTAGGGGGAAATCTAAGAGCCCGACTGCGTGAAGTACTTGAACTGGTGGGCCGGATTCTGCGCAGGATACCTGGGTTTCGGGTAAGCAGGGTTATACGGGTTATATAGGGTATATATAGGGGTTATGTAGGGGTTATACAAGGATATACAGGGTTTAGGGTGTAACGTCTACGCAGAGTCTAGGGTGACCCATCGAGACAAGCCTCTGCGCTGCCTTTTTACTGGTGCTTTAGGGGAAACCTGGGGAGGAATATAAGTGCTGGCAACCATCTAAGGGAACTGTACGAGGATTTGCATTTCTATTCCCTAAACCCAACAGAAAGCGCTTGACCTAACAAGCGCTCCAACATCCTGGAAATTTGGTCTACCAAGGCCATACAGGATTTACATCAACAAGCCTAACCCCAAAGACTATTCCCTAAACCGTAAAACCCTGAACTGCACCTGCAACAACTGTAAGCTCGCTGAAGTGTTGGGCTTTATAGTCACACTTTGAAGGCATTGCAAATGCAACCTGCTCAGAAGCTGTAGTCCCAGGTTTAGGTTCAGGGTTTACGGTTCAGGGTTCAGGGCCCCAAGAATTGGCAAAACAGAGTCTCTTGGTATGCAACGTCGCAGGATGAACCAAGGAGGCGCCACAACAAGGCACCCACCTTCATTGGTCTAAATTGGTTTAGGGTTCGGGGCTTATTCTGAGTCAGCCAGCCTTCCTTGAGGGGGAAGGTGAGGGAACCCAGAAATGTCGATCCTTCGTAATGCTCTAATATGCACCTGAAAAACCAATATGGCATTCAGGTAAATCACGATGTGACTGGAGAGGGCTCTGAGAAAGAAAACCCCAAGTGTGCAGTTTTCTTTGACGCCTCCTATCTTCCCAAAGCCCTAAACCCCTAAACCCTACAACCCCTAAACCGTAAACCCTTAAGCCTAAACACCAAACCCCTAAACCCTGAAACCCTAAACTCCTAAACCCCTAAACCCTGAAACCCTAAACGCCTAAACCCCTGAACCCTGAAACCCTAAGCGCCTAAACCCCTAAACCCTAAAAACCCTAAACTTGGGAAGCCTAGCCCGCAGAAAGACCACAGGAAAGCTACAGGCACAGTACAACTAATGGCATGTTCGCATGCTTCGGACAACCTAAGAATACTCCATGGTTTAGGGTTTAAGGTTTAGGTTTTAGGGTTTACGGTTGAATCAAGCTTAAACCCTATACCCATAAGGGAGCCCTACTTTTCGAAAAGCACATAGATGCGGTGGGTGCCCGTGTTGGGAAGCATTACGAAATCTAGGGGCCTTATGGGGATGGTGGGGACGGCGCCTTTGGGTTACCAGTCACAGTTAAGGGTTTAAGGGTTTAAGGGTTCAGCGTTTTGGGTTTTGGGTTTTGGGTATGGGGCCTTCTTAGGGATTCCCTTCAGCAATTCTCGTCATCAGAAGTTCGCATGATCAACCACCAAGTCCTAGAAAAATTGCGTTCTCATGCCAGAGCTTGCACAGTAAACTCTTAAGCCCTAAGCTCAGAAGCACCAAATTAAATCCCAAGCTAACCAACTATTTATATAGTTCCCAAAAACTAGGTCCCATGTGGTACCCCTAGATATTAGGTGCCGTCGTATAACCCATAACCAAAAGGGCCCTAATCTGTGAGCATGGCCCATGTAGATTTTGTACTAACTATTGCTAGATGGCTTTCTTTGCTCACGATTATGAGAATTATTCCTAGTTCCGTGAAAAATGAGATGCTGATATGAACATGTGTTGGCGGCGTTGGCAAAGACTAATTCCAGACTAAAGGGAAACTAGTACAGACCTGACCCCAAGCCTAAGCCTAAGTAGGTGCATTCCGAAACACTAGTGATGTTTATACTAGCAATCTATGGGACATTGCCTTGTTGTAACCTCGGCCCTAAACCCTAAACCCTAAACCGTAAACCCTCTTAGGTGCTTTCTTACATAGCCAAGTTTGAATCCGAATTCCCCGGCCTAGGTCAGTGTGCTCTTCTATCTCAAGTTGTAGACATACTAAGCCCCACACGCTGAAGAGGGTTTAGGGTTTAGGATTTAGGGTAGTTTCCTAGAACGAGGACGAAGCCCAAGCTTGAACCCCCACTACAAGGAGCCAAGCTTTCACCCAGAACGGCACAGAAATTTCGGGTTTCCAACAATTGACGCCGCCTCACGTCCCAAATAAGAAGGATTTTCATGTATGAAGGGTTTCCTCAATCCTCTGGAAAAGACCATTCGAAGAAGAACAAAAACCCGGACAGTGTCTGAATCCGGCGGGAGCACGCGAAGAAGGTGCGCGGGAGCGGCTTTAACTCTTTCGTGCAGAACCTGTCAGAGGCGGTTTAGGGTTCAGGGTTAACTTGGTGACACTTGGGGCTTCTGGTTTGGGGTTTGGAGGTTTGCCACTTTGGGCTTCACGGCTTGCCGGTTTTAATATTAGGGGTCCCATATGTGGGGGTCCCCAGAACGAGGGCTATGCTACCATTTCCCGCTCGAGTTTGGAGTTCAGGCTTGCAGCGTCCAGCTCTATTCAGACCAGTGCAAGCAGCATGGACGCAAGATGTCAAGTGCCACAAAGCCAGCATGCATTGCACAGACAGCGCAGGCTCATTTTCTTCTCCCATTGTGCTTCCTCTAGGTGGCACATTCGTTGACAGCCTGAGTAACCGAAACCAATGAGCTATAGCGCCAGAAGACACCTGGAGAAACTGATAATTCGCCGGATGCTATATGGGCATCGCTACACCGCGAGCGAAGCTCACTCGGAGTAGAGGAGGAGGCCTGCAATCAGGATGACCACAATGGCCAAGAACTCCAGGAAGCCCATGCCGATGAGCGTGTAGGTGAAGAGATCCTCCTTCATTGATGGGTTCCGCGCCATGCCCACCACCAAGGCTGCGAAGAGTTGGCCGATGCCCTGCGCGCAGCCACCGACGGCCACCATGGCAATGGCGCAGCCCAGCACGGAGACGCCCGCGTGGCGCTTCGTGAGCGGGGCACCGAGGCCAAGGACCGGGGCCACTGCACCAGGTGCTGACTTTGCGGAGGTCGCGGAGGTTGCGGAGGGTGCAGAGAGGGCACCCAGAGCGCGGGGCAGCGCGGTCACTGCGCGGGCGCCTACGCCCGGGAGGAGGGCGGCACGCAGAGATGCTGAGCGAAGCAGCGCCATGATCACGATCTCTGACTTAGCACTGTGCCTGTTTTGAACAAAATGCGCCTGCAGGAAAGGCTTAGCAATCACTCATGCTCAAAGTCTACCAGAACTGGACTTAAGCAAAACCCTGGTCAGCGATACAGAACAGCATCAACACTGTTAGAGCATGTCCCCAGGCCTGTTCTCATAGTCCAGCAGCATAAGCATGTCTACGACTTCGTCGTTCATCTGCAGCGCCTGCACGGCATTGCGCCGTAAAATGCAGGCTTGCGGGAGTTGTTGGGCAACCAAGCACCCGACGCAAGGGCCGGAGTTGGGAAATCCCAAGTAAAGCACGGAAGGACATGCCAGCACACATGGCTATCCGTTAAATTTCAGGCCTTAGGGCCGACCAGCCCCAAGAAGCAAGGGCATTTCTCAGACTGCAGGTCCCCAGAAAAATGATAGCAGCTGCACACCACCCATAAATAGCCAGAAGTTTCGAAACCAGGTTGCAGGGACGTAAGGCGAAATCGAAGCAAGGAGCGAGAATGTTGACGGTCATATTCTTCTTTATATAAACCCCATAATGAAAAGGAGTGCATGAGCTTACTCTACATGCCAAGCTATAGTATCAACTCATACAAGCTTGGAACCCCAAACACCTCAAAGCATCGCAATCATGACATTGTTCCTGGACCATCCCTACACTGAACCCAGACCCTCAAACCTTAACTCTCCATCATCAACCCTAAACCAACGACCCTAAATCCTGAATCATAACCCCTAATTCTGCAACACCCTCAGTCTCAGACCTGGGAACCCAAACCCAAATCATCCGATGCCCCAAGCTTCCAGTCTGCCCTCAAAGCCTCGGTGTTGTACACCCCCTCTGCAGGGGGAGGCGGGGGAGGCGCCGCCATACTGCACCTGCTACCTGGCAGCATCAGGAGTTTAGGGTTTAGGGCCTCAGTGGCTTTGAAGCCCTCCTTGCGTACTCTTGCTGAAGGGTATGGGGTTAAGGGAACACGGGGTATACTGCCCTTTCTTGTTTTTCTTCTATAGGGACTTCCATCAGGATCCATTCCCCCTTTCCTGGAAGCACACATATGTACGAAGGAAAAAAACTTTAGTCGGGATTCTGGCTTCTTTCGGGGGCTCAACAAAGACCACCAGGCTTGGGGATTGAGTCGACATTGTGAGAAACGTTGAAAGGCCAGGGATCGAAGTCACGGTCCCATTCTGCGGTTTCAGGGTTTAAGGTTTACCCAAAGTTTAGGGTTCAAAGTCTATGGTTTAGGGCTTAGGGTTTAGGCTCACGCCTTCTGGGGCTTAATCTCCCCGGACTAAAGCTCCAGAATCTCAAGATATGCTACAAGCGCCCCAGCAACCCTGACCAAACTGAGACAAACTCTCCAGGGACGTTCTACAACATACTTTCGGGCCTGAATGAACAAAAAAAAGGTTTAAGGTTTGGGGTTTGGGGTTTAGGTGTAATTAGTACATTGCTCTCAAGTTCTTCCTACATAGGGTTTTCCTCAGTGATGCTGAGAAGGGTACTTCGTCAAAATAATCCCTGAAGAACCCCAAATAAGTACCCTAAACCATATACCCTATAATCCCCAGATAAGCACCTCCACAATTTCTTTTGGATTCTACCCCTTGGGGGGTTTCAAGGGGTCCCCCGTTTTGAGGAACTCCCAGAAATCCGTGACATCAAATCGCTAGGGCGATCCAGCTGTTTATGGAGACCTGCATGCCCTACAAGAGGGTTTAGGGTTTAAGGTTTTCTGGGTCGCTGCTAAGGAAGCTAAAGTACGGCACAACAGTACTGTAAACAGGAGGTTTCCTGATTATAGTCATCCCTAAAAAAGCTTCAACAGACAAAAGGTCTGTCAAGGCCCCTTCCCTGTAACAATGAAGCCTCTTCAGTCGATCATCCCCGTCCCCGAGTCATAACCCCCCAACCCCGTCACCCGCCCAAACAATCAACCCGCCAATAAAGTACCAGTGCATCTTAAGAGGGAGATGTATTGTCAAGAGGCGGGGGAACACCATGTATTTTGGGGACACCTCTGGGGTGATGCAAGATACCAATTTTGGCTACCCGGAAGATAGCTTGTACTGTCACCAAGACTATGCTTTGGGAGTTTTTGAGGCTGAGGCTGGGTAGGCTTAGGATTTTTGTGTTCACAGCTGTCTGGGATATGAATCCTCCCCATGCCGCCACAGCATGGAGCCAATACAAAGGCTTCAACATGTCTTTACGCCTTTGTATGCGAACCCCGCGAAAAGGGATTTCTAACTTCTCCTGTGCTCAAAACCTGCAAATCCATCCTCGTTCTCTGAACCCCAGGCCCCCGAAGGGTCCAAAAGCTGACAGGACCCAGGGTTTGTTACGGTTCAGGGTCTAGGGACTCCTTACAGCTAATGGCCCAGCAGTAATGGCATCTCAGGAAAGAAGGGTTCCTTTAAACAGATGTCGGGGATATATATGGTTTAGGTTGGGTCAATCCCCCACCCAGTAATGGGTACCACAAGCGACTATTGTAGGTATATTAAGGCCTTATTAAGTCCATATTAAGGAGCTATTACTAGAGGGGGGATTGACCTAAGGTTTAGGGTTTAGGGTATGTATGAAGTTAGGGATAGACCCAATAATGGAAAACTGAATGGAAAAGAAAATGGACGTGACTTGGCAACTATGGGGTCCAGAATGTACCGGACCTCGACTTGGCATGGAATGACGGCATGGGAAAGAAAATGGAAGCTACAAATAGTTATGGGATTGATTTTTTGTGGAGGCACTAACCCCTAAACCCTTAACCCCTAAATTCCAAAGCCCTAAACCCCTAAACTCTAAACCCTAAGCCCCCAAACCCTAAACCCTAAACACTAACTGTTCCTTCTGCCAAAACAACATCTATTCTCAGGGGATAAAAAGTTGTTACGCTGACGGCTGTGGTGCTCGGGAAGCGGAATCAATGTAGAAACCAGAATAATTACCAATCTATTGCCATATAAACCTTCTGTGAATGTAATATACCTTTTTCCGTCCCTACATACATTACAAACCCTGCATAATCCCCTGTAGAAATCCAGCTTCCATTTCATTTTCCATTTTCTTGCATTCGCTAAACCCTAAACCCAAAAGACAATACAGCATTTTCCAATTACTGCTCCATTTTCTTTTGCATTTGATTCTACACTACTCTAATTATCTTGGCCGCAAACCCCGAACCCTAAGAATTTGATAGTAACCCTATTCTTGAAAGCACACCCCTGTTACCCCTGTGAAGGGACCCTAACCTTGAACCCTGAACGCATAACGCTAAATTCTACATATCCCGAAAGACCATGCGCTCACTGCCTCACGGGCGGTGCAAGGATTGACTTAAGCTGCAAGAATGAGCCAAAATGACCACAGTCCGTCAAGGTCAATAGAAACTGGGGTTATTTAGGATACGCATATCACCCCTATAATGGGCTAATTCAAAAAGAGAAGAAATGGAAAGTGAAATGGAACCTGGTTTTATGCAAGGGCCAACCATCAAAATGAGGACTCGTTGGCTATCCTATGACTCTTGTAGAGTCTTCGACGCTAAACCCTCAACCCTGAAACCTCTTCGCCTCTGGGATTGGGGCAAAAATTCCTACATAACCCCTATGTAAACCAAGTTTTTAATCCATTTTCCATTTCATTCTCAGAGGGTAACATCCATAGATCCTCCGAGTTCGAGGTCAAGAGACCGGGCCTTCATGTGGAATTGACTTCATCAAGATTTGTGCCGGCAAACCAGCTGTATGCCCAAGCCGAAGCTCTGTAACTTAGGTGGACCCCCCGCCCTGTAATAGTGACTTATAAGGGATAGTAGTAACTATATTAGGGTCCTGTTAAAATCCTATTATACCACTATTACAGGGTGGGGGGTCCTCCTAACCTATAACAATTCCAATGCCAATACTTCCAGCAATACTAGCATCATCCTTTGAAAAAACAGACTGCATGGAAGCATTTCGAGACAGCTCATATGCACGCCAATCCTGCATCTACTTTTTATAACTCTAGGTTGGCCCCTAAAACCCATTGAAAAATATTATATAGTATATAGGGTCCCCTATTAAAGCCATTAGGAAAAATGTCAAATATCCCAGGGGCCCACCCAGAACTGCATGTCCTTTTTCCATGCCTTGACTTATTTCTCTTAGCCGGCTGTATGACAGCTATACGCCTTTGGAGGGGACCCTTCATATCTCAATGAACCCTTTGAAGGGACCCCCAATAAGTCCGGTCAACGGAGCCTATCTGTCACAATGCACCCAAACAGAGGGACCCTATATGTATATATATATACACACACATTATATATCACTTTTTATCCCTGTACAACCCCTAAATAACCCCTTCAGAGACATTATGTATCCCTCTCAACTTTAAAACTGTGAATCGTAGTCTGTCTGGGCTAGTGCACCCTGGCACGGAGGCTTGTCTTCATGTTATTTCCCTCCCCCAACCCTAAACCCTAAATCCTACACCACATCTGAAGGGATCAAGCAACCTTGAGCCCTAGTCCTAGCGCCTGAAACACAACCTGTTTTCGCTCGTTTGCCCCTCATCCGTGCCTTTGGGATGATTGGTATTGCTGGTCGGCATGTGCATTGGCGGGCCTTACAGCCCTTTCACAGGGGTAGCTTCTGAGATGAATTGCTGATGGAATGGACAGATAAGGCGTCTCCTCCCATGTGCTGATTACATTTTAACACTCAGACATGGTATCTGCATGGTTTGCAAGGGGCCACACAGCTGCACAACCTGCCTGCAAAGGTACTCCGGCCATTTGGCCGTCTTCCTCCCCCTTTTGGCAACCTGACAGATGGGCAGCACACTGGGTTCCTCTGCACGCAGAGAAAACGTGGCCACCGGACCTCACTGGCAGCAACAATTCAGCACCCAGCAAGCCGGGGCGCATTCAGACCGCACTTAACCCTTTCGCAGCCACGCTGAGCGAGATACTATATACTCCGGCGCACTAAAGTCGATCCACGCAGACCTTTGAGTGTCCAGACAGCACCAGGCAAAAGGG